ATTCCTTTATTTAATTCTCATAAAAGCCACAAATGGTACGTGTTCTGCCCTGTTTACATATGAGGAGATTCATGATCAGAGTTAAAACAACTTATCTAAAGAGAGTTTTAAGTGCTAGCCATCAAGATTCTAACCTCATATAAGCTGAAAGTTCCTGTTTTGTTGACTACCCTGCTGCTGATCTTTCATGTTGTTGAAGCAGTGCCCATGTTCTAGGCCTTAGAATGAACATTTCCAGGTAGCAAAGAGAGAATTCATACACGAAAAAATTAATTGTCAAAACCCCTTCAAATATTTTATGTATCTATAAGATATCTATTTCAGGAGATTTGTGTATAAACCAAGTTAAAATAGGGTCAGAATTTAGCTGTGACAAGAACTTTGTAAATAATGAAATCATGACGAACATCCTTGCGTAATGTGAGTAATCTCTTTTCTAAGTTTGCTGAAGTTGTTATATTCAGTTTCCCTAGAACAGGGCACATATCAAATAAATTGTAAAGTATATATTAACTTTTTTCCTAATCTGGATGAAAAGTTGGTTGATCATTAGTTTGATGAGCTTTTCAAAACAAGCAAGATGAAGAGAGATCTGTGACCTGTGGGAACTTGTCTGGATTCCGCCCCACAAAGAATCAAGACATTTCCTAGTATCAGTTAATAATTTATCATGTACAGTTAGGAAATGGCAGGCTTGGGGAAGGGCACAGTGATGATGAAAAGCTGAAGAGTTGAATTGATAAAATGAAATTGGCCTGTGGAGGACTTGATTTTAGGTCGCTCATTCAGACTTTTGACAGGGGAAAAGGGGACCCTAGGTAATTCTGCTCTACATGGAACAGAAAAAATTAGGATTTAGCATAATTTAAGAAAAAATTAGGAGAATTCATCATAATTTCTGTTCCATTTATTCACTGTTTATTGAATACACCTGTCGTGCTGAGAACTGGGGATATAAAGAATTTAAAAAAAAAAAAAGATGTGGTATCTGCTTTTAAGCTGACATTTGTAGTGTTTCACAGAAAAGGAATTTTTTAGACTGGCTCTTGAAGGGTAAAATGGAGTTTGCTGAGACAGAAGTACAGAGGGAGCAGCACTGGCACAGGCATGCGAGCCCCGAGCGGACTCCCATGCCCTGAGACCTGCACATATTTCAGCGTGGCAGGAGCTTAGGTTCCATGCCTGACGTCCATGATATTAATATGGTTTCTCTGGTAGGCACACTTTCAACTTCTTAGCCTCCCCGTACCCACCCTTTCCTCCTCATTCTCAGCTGATTACTTCGTTGAAAAATTGGAAGCCATTAGACCTAAACTCCATCTTCTTTCCCAAGACCTATAACGCCATCTAGTACCACACACATCTGATCCTTCTTTCCTTAAGTCTCCTCTCCCTATCGCAGGCCACTAGATCTCATCACCTGTCACCTTAAGACTTCTCTCCTTGTATCTCCTTTCCCCTGGTTCATTACCGTCATCAGGCAAACATGCTCAATATGTCAGTCTTAAAAACAAACTTTTCTTGATACTGCACTCCTCTCCAAAGACCACTCCATTGCATTGTTCCCTTATATAATTTCACTATACTCTGACTTCTACCTTCCCCCGCTCCCTTAAAATTGCTTTTGTCAAAGTCACCTGCCCTCTCCATGTTGCCAAATCCAGCAGGTACTTCACACAGCCCACTCCTCCCTCCAGATTCTTTCTGCCCTTCAGTTTGTAACACTGTGCTCTCCTGGCTTCCTCTTGATTCACTCACTGGCTGCTGCTTCCCCTTCTCTCCCAGACCTCTAAATAATGGAGTTCCCTGGCGTGTTGTCTTGGGCTCTCTCTCTCTCTATTGTTCTCGCAAGGTGAGCTTATCAGTTCCCATGGATTTAAATACCTTCCTGTTATGCAGATAATTATCTGCATTTTATCTCCAGTGGGGACCTCTCCTTTGAGCTTCAGACTCCCAACTGCCTGCTTATCTCAGAAACTTCTCATACTTAATGTGCCTAAAATGGAACTTGATCCCCTCTACTCCCACTTGCATTCTTTTTATCAGTAAATGACACTACTGTTCTTGAATCATCCTTGCCCTTTCCCTGCCCACTTAAATCTCCTTCGTTCTATCTGGATTCTATGGAGTCTATCTCCAAAATTTATTTTGAACCCACTTCCTTTTCTCCATCTCCGCTGGCTGACTGCCTCCACTGTAGTCCAGGCCACCATCATTTCTTAGTTGGACTACTCTAGCAGCCTCCTCTCTCCCCACCTCTGTTCTTGCTCCCTCTTCCCCAGTTCATTCTGCATACTGTTGTAAGGATATTCACAAATCAATCTATTTCACTTCCCTGTTTAATCATTTCAGGGTCTTCCCAGATTTCCTACCTTGGTGTGCATGATCTGGTCCATGCCTGGTTCTCCCATTTCATTTCATGTCACTGGCCTTCCCCGCTACCCACTTACCCCCGCCCCCCGCCCCCCATACTGAGTTACTGTGCTCTAGTGACACTGGTTATGTTTTACTTTCTTGCAACATACCACACTCTTTTCTCAGGGACCTGGCAGTTTCCTCTTTGAAAGGCCAGCTCTTTTTGTTTTTTTAATTGGGTCTTAGCTTACATTCCTTTGCTCAAAGATTTCATTCCTTGACTGCCCTACCGAAAGTAGGTTCTTCCTCTTTTTGTTTGCTTCCTAATACTTGCAATTATTTTGTCTGTTTACTTTGTTTTCTTCTCCACCAAAAAAATGTAAACAGTGAAAAGAGGGATTGGGTCTGACTTGTTTACTCTTATAGTACCTACAACAGTGTTTGGCATATAGCAAGCACTCATTAAATATTTTATGAAATGATAGAAGGAAAAGGAAGGGCAAAGTGAAATGGGTGAGGTAGGTGGGGAGAGAGAAAAAATGCAGAAGGAGAAGGGGGATAGATAGAGAGAGAGGAAAGAAAGAAAAGGGAAATGGTGAGGGATGGAGGGAGGGAGGAAGGAAGGAAGGAGGGAGGGAGGGAGGGAGGGAGGGAGGGAGGGAGGAAAAGGAAGGGAGAGAAAGAGAAAGAAATGCTTACTGAGTAGCTGCTGCATTCTGGACTCCTGTATCCTTCTAGTGTTGTTCCTGTCTCGATCCCAGCCACCACCAGCGTGCTTGCAGTTTGTCAGAGGAATTATGTAACACCCTAAGGTGCCCTCATCTTTCACAGACCCCTCAAGTTTCTCTCTGTATCTAACAGTCTGTATGAAACACTTGAGGCTCTGGAGCCCGTAAGAGTCCTGTCTATCATTTTTTTACCATGAGCCAGGATATCTGCTTGGTGCTTTACACACTGGATTCCATTTAATTCTGGAAAGTCATTGGCATTGTCCACCTTCTTCCCTGCCTCCTCACCAGAGATACACAGAGAAGTATCTGGCTCATAATCATATAGCTAGTGAGTGCAGAAAGCCCTTAGTATTCCAACCCAAGCCTTTGTGACTATAAAGACTGTTCCTTCCACCCCATGAGGTATGTATAGTGGTTCCCTAAATATCAAACAATCAATAGGCAGGTGGTTATTAATCTGTCAACAAGAAATGTCCAAACCTGTAGAGAATTTTTATTAAAGTTTATCTGATGCCCTGGCTGGTGTGGCTTAGTGGATTGAGCGCTGGCCTGTGAAATGAAGGGTTGCCAGTTCGATTCCTGGTTAGGGCATGTGCCTGGGTTGCAGGCCAGGTCCCCATTTGAAGGTGTGTGAGAGGCAGCTGGTCGATGTTTCTGCTGCACATTGACATCTCCCTCCATTTCTTTCTCCCTCACCTCCCCTCTCTCTAAAAAGTAAATAAAATCTTTTTTAAAAAGTTACTTGAGCCAACACTGATGATATATGCCAGGGAGCAAGACCTCAAATGCTCCAGAGAATGCAGTTTTGCAGTTTTGTTTATGCTCTGAAACTGAGGAGGGAGTGTAAGGAAGATTACATGAGGGTGGGAGAAAGCAAGGCAAGATTATTTGCTTTCTTGAGGGTGGTGATTAACCTAGTTATACAGAAACAATGGACAGAGTTTGCTTAAGGCAAAGATAAACCTTTTACTATTGATAAAAAGTTACATGCCTGGGGCAGGACTACCCACCGTGACTTGCCCATTTCGGAATTTGGTCAGATCATCCTGTGGTTACTTTTCATATGTGTATCAGCTGTAGATCATGAATCTCAAGTCCAGCCTCTTCCTTATAACCTTCTCCTTATCACCATCATCTTTCGCCTGGACTGGGGCAGTAGCCTCTTAACCAGTCTCCCTGCCTCCCCATTTGCCTCCTAACAGTCCATTTTCCGACTGGCAGTCAGGTTTGTTTTTTAAAATCTATAAATTGGATTGTGCTACTTTCCAGTTTGTACTCATTATGCTTAAAATAAAACCCAGACTCCTAATCATGACCTGTAAAGCCCGTTGTTATCTTGTCTGCATGTTTCTCTGACCTTAGATCCTTCTGCTCTGCTTTGCTCTAGCCATACTGGTCGTCTTATAGTTCCTTTAACTGGCAAGCTATTTTCTACCTCAAGTTCTTTATAAAACTAGCTTCCCCACCTAAATCTTTACATGGATGGCTCATGGACATAATTTAAGTATCACCTCCTCAGATTGGCCTATCTGACCAGGCTATCTAAAATAGAACACCCAACACAAATAAATAAACTTTCTCTATATCCCATTAACCTGCCTTATTTTCTTCATAGCGATATTCTTTATTTTTTTGCTTGTTCATTGACCCTCTCCCCCACTAGTATATGAGCTTCATGAGGGTAGGTTCTTTGAATTAACCATATTTTCAAGGATGGTGCCTAGCACCTAAGGAGCACTCATATTTGTTGGGAAAAAAAAGGGAAATAAAACTTGTTTTATGGATTTAGTAACAATTTTATTTAGATAAGAGTCATAACATCTCTGTTTTTAGGGTTTTTGAAAATTACTACTGTGTAAATGTCAACCTAGTACCTATACTGATTCCATGATTGAAACTGAGTCTTTTCCCCAGTTCATTTAGAACTCGTCAGATTGAGGCTGTTCCGACCAACTCTGCAGTTGAAGGATTTAAAGCAAATCTTATCTTTAAAGAGATTGAGAAGAAACTTGAAGAGGTAAGTAATATTTATATAAAATACTACCAAGAGGACCTGGAGGCTAGAGAAAGCGCATCTAGATTTCAGATGTTGCCATGAAGTGGTACAAGTTGAAAATTTATATCATGTTATCAAGTATTGAGTGTATTTTAGATATCTGAGTGTCTATTATGGTTTCCTTGTAAATCTGGTAAGAGTGCATTTCAGAGATGTATAAATCTCCAGATTTGAGTTATATAAAGAACTATGGTAAATTGCTGTTAAAACCTTAACTTCAGAGGAAAGGCTAACACTTACCACTCTTTTCTCCATCTTCTCTTTGTCAGGGAGATAATAATTATGGACAGAGTTTATATGTAAAGGGGTTGTCATTTATTTTGGTGCAATTTTATTCTGAATTAAAAAGATCTTACATGGAACTGTTCAAATGACTATTTAAAGTGAACCTTTAAAGCTACCTAATATCAAAACTCTTTTTAAAAAGAAATCTTTTGTGCTTGATTTATTTCAAAGTAGTTTTTAATTTATTTTTTCTTATTGTGAAAATGATGCTATATTTTGCCCTGGTGGTGTGACTCAGTTGGTTGGAACATCATCCAGTCCCCAAAAAGTTGTGGGTTCAGTTCCCAGTCAGGGCACATACCTGGGTTGCGGGTTCAATCCCCAGTCTGGGTTCTTGTGGTAGGCAACTAATCGATGTTTCTCTCTGGCATTGGTATTTCTCTGTCTCCTTTCCTCTTTCTCTAAAAGCAATGAAAAAGTGTCCTTGGGTGAGGATAAAAAAAGTTTGTTTTAAGATGCTAATTTTAAAGTAGTTCCACGATACAGAAACATATAAGACAGAAAAATTTTAAATCTCCTGAAATGGGAACATTTGAGATCTTACTCCCTGTCATATGTCATCAATATGACTCAAACTCTTACAAAAAATTTTTAAAAAAATTTCCTGAAATGTTAGCGTTCACTAACATGTTAACAATTGTTGGAATTCTTTCAGACATCTCTTTGTGTGTATGAACGTACAGTTTTATATAACTAGGATCGTACAATACATGTTGAGTTTTTAAAATATTACTGTATGTACAGATGTTTTTATGTACAATAATTAGTTCTTGATAGATCCTACTCGGCAATCTAACAGTAACTCTTTCTCCAAGAAGAGTTATTTTCAGGCAAAATGAGATATTTATTTCATTGTTTTAAAACCTAAAAGCACCTTGGGATTTTATTATTGATTTCAATTTTGAGACTTACAAGGCAGTCACAGCCAGAGTCACACAATCCCAGTCGCATATCTACTAAGCTGACCAAAGTGGGCTGAAATAAAGAAAAGGGCTCAGAACACTTGAGCTGTGCATTTCACTGTGTTAGAGCCGCAGTGTGGATGGCAAACATTTTGCGTATCTTGTAACTCCCTTATTGTAGCACAAAAGACTTCATAACATCTAAGGTGATTGCATTGAATGTATTTGGCGGGGAGGAGATAGCTAAGGTGACCGATGTGTCTTGACAAAGGACCCTGCATTTCTAGGATTTTCATAGGGATCAACAGCCTCTCTGAGGTAGAGAGGACCAGGGCTGACAGTGCTGGGCAGGTGGGTGATGGTCCACCTGCTGCAGACCTGTCCCGCCACCATCGTGTGGGAATACACTTACGTGAGACTGCGTGCTATACTTTTTATTTTATAACCTACTTTTTCCTTTTGACAGTATATTCTGTGCCCTTAAATATAAATCCTTACCATCAGTCTTAATGACCTCATTGTACTGGTTTGAATGTGTGTACCATAATCTAACTAGCCTCCTCTGATGAACCTCAGGTTGTGTTTAAATTTCTTAAGTAAAGCAGTGGTTTAATAAATTTCCTTTTGCACTCATCTTTAAACACTTAATGCCATGATTACCTAATCATAAATAATTAAAGGGGGAAATTGTGGGATAGTTGGGTATGTGTGTTTTGCATTTTGATACATATTGCCAAATTATCCACAAAAAAGAGAACACTGCTTTACAAATTTAATAATAATTCATGAAAGTGACTGTTTTTTTTCTTCAGACCTTTTTCAGTGCTATGTTGGCTGGTTAAAAGAAACATCTTTGCCAATCTAGTAGGAAAAACTATCTCATTTAAAAAACTTCCTTTCATGCCAGCAATATTTGCCTACAGAGTAACCAATAGTGTAGTTGCTTCTGCCAAGTTGCTCCATTTTTTCAACTTTATTCTGTTAAAAAATCAAATAAAATAATTAGTTAGGAGAGCATCTGGTATGGCTAGATGTCAGCCATTGAATACCTCATTATTGGGATTAACAAAGCGGTGCTGTTTTTATTTCACAGTCTTCTTTTAGCTTTGCAAATGATGCCTCCTGCTCCCATTTTAATTCGTTTTTCCTCCTTCCATAACCTCACTTGCATGTACCTTGTCCCCTTGTTTTTTTTCCTCCTTCCCACGATTGTCAGTTTCCTAAATGTTTGCAGGACTAGAAAGTGAAAGAAAGTCTTGGAATCTTTTGTCAATTCATGCATTTTCTGCCTTAGCAAAGGAAGCCTGGCAAGATATTTTATTTCCACTTTTGTCTTTGTTAGCAATATCCTATTGCCCTTCTTTGAATTCTGTTAATTTTTTTGTTCTGATTATGTTTACACAGGACCTACTCCTTGACCTTTTACCTACTCAGAAAGAAGTACTTTTCTTCAGGGAAGGAGACACTTAGAAATCACTTAGTATTAATGAACTCTAGTTTCACAATAAATGTGAATTTGCTTTCCCCCTTTAACTCTCTCCCTCCTTCTTCAATTAAAAATGCTTTATTGACCAAAGGATGTGATTTTGTAAGATGATTAGATGGTTCTCAAAATTAACAGCAAGTGCAAAATTAACCTACCCCTATCTTAAGGAGGCGGGAGGAATTTCTCTCCAAGTATGTAGGTAGAATTTCTAAATGTTTGCTGGTGTCTTCCTGCTTTGACTTGTGGATGTCTGTCATAGCTGTTTTCCTGAGGCATGGTGCAAACAGATGACATGGAGGTACCTGGAAATAGTCATTCAGGAGCCACTAGCCCCAAAGAAAGCCTGGCTCTTGGGTGGCCCAATATACGAGCATTGTTAACCCACTCTTCCAGATTGTCTCCCCAGAACCTTGAGGGATAAAATATTTTAAGGAATATGGAGAAGACTTTGAACTTTTTAAAAATTCACTTATGATGACAAACTGCTTTCATAATGTAAAGTTTGGAACTATTGATGTAGTCTGCCTTGCAGTATGGTATGGTCAAATGGAAAGAACATGGAATTTGGAGTTAAACCAAACTAGGATTGAGTTCTGGTTGTACTACTTACTAGTCATATGTCCCGGCCCCTGAGGGAACATAGAGTTTAGTGGAAAGAGAGACATGGAAAAAATTTCCCAGAAAAAAAATAACTACTTTAACAAGAAACCCGGGTGCATGTACAAAGGGCTTTTGAAGTATGCAGTAGAGACAGAAAAGCCTTCCCAGAGAGTTTCATGTGAGCTGAGACTTGGTGAGATGGGGGCACGAATCAAGAACAGGAGGAAGTGTGTGCCCCGCAACAGGGCATGGAGACACGTGTATTCCTGGAATTCAGAATGGTTAGTGTGGTTAGAACATAAAGCCTGAGAAAGATTAAAAAGTATCTGAAGATAACAGTAACTATCCTTCAGATCACAAAGAATCTTCAATGATATAAAAAGGCAGACTTCATCCTATATTTTGTGGGGAGCCATTTAAAAAATCCAAACCTGAAAGTGTTAGGTGGGTTATGTTAGACAGATTACTTGGCCGCAGGATAGAGAATAGTCTGAAGGGTTCTTAACCTTTATGAGCCTCAACTGTTTTTTCAGCTCAATGCTAATATTAATACCTGTCCAACTACTTACAGGGTTTTGTGGAGATTAAATAAAAAATGTATATAAAAGCACTTAAACTTTATAGGCCTCCAAAGATTGTTATTGTTGTTAATAATTTTTCCTCAAGTTAACTTAAAATAATTTGAGTGAGATCTTTTAAGAGAAGTCAAAATAAGAGAATTTCCCTTTGACTTAAAAAATCTGACAGTCATTTTGGTTTCTTGATATAACTAGGAAATATTGGTAGTTGATATTAGGACACCCATATGTAAGAAATTCCTGCATGACTTTTGAAATAAATAGGCCTAGACTGAATATTTTTAGAATAGCTTCTTTGAAGTCCTAAGACCGCTGGTTGATTCTAGATAGGCTCAGGTATATAAGAAAAAGATTGACACACCCACTAGGTGACTAAAATAAAAAAAGGTAGATCAAAGTGGTGAGGCTGTGGAGAATTTAAACCTATGCTCATTCCAGATTTAGTGTTCTTCATTAGCAAAATTTAATTCTAGGAATTTAATCTTAAGTCAGTGAGGCTATGTAAAAATATTTAGATATACAAATGTTATTCACAGCATTGCTATAATTATGAGCCAGAAGTTAGAACTAATGTAAATATCGAGCAACAGTATTGGTTAAATATAGTACAATTCTACAATTAAAGACTATATGTGGTCATTTGAATTGCATAGAAGAGTATTTAATGACACAGTAATGAGGATAAATATTAAACAGAAAAGTGGATTATAAAACAGTATATACAATAAGACCCCATATACTAAAATATTTTCTCTTAGGTGATGAAATTATGAATTATTTATATTTTCTTTCCTTTTTTTTTTTTTGCTTATTGATATTTTCTAATTTTTCCACAGTAAAATGTGTTTTCTCTCTAAAGAAAAAGAATTACAATAAAATGACTTTTGTTTTTGTTTCTTTTTTTTTAAAAAAGATGTGTGGGGCGGTTAGCGCTGTCCTCTGTAGCCCCCTGTGTCTCCCTTTATCCCAATATGCTGTCATAATTGTCATAGTGTATTATCGCGTATCCCTCCAACTCCTCCTTCCGTATTCTTGGTGCCCAGAACAGTGTCTACTGCCAATCATTGTTTCAGTCAGTAAACATTGCAGACAGGGAAGATGAAGCAGAGTAGGAATGAAGGGGAGAGAGAGGGGCATAGAACCCAATCTACAGAGATATGTACCTGAGGTTATTTTTCCAGCTTCATTCTTCAAGATCCAAAAGTAAGTTGTAGTTGTAAATAGTACATTACTTGCATAATTCTTTATACTAATCCAGAACATGGGTTAACCGCCCCCCTCCCCACCAAAAAGACTTTGACCTCAGAACCACTCATCTTCAATTGTGGGAAACCAAAAATGTATGTAAAGGAATTTACCTGCAAAAAAAAAAGGGAGTGGGAGTTCATACATTCAGAGACACCAGAGTGAACCTTTCAGAAATTCTTGAGGTAAATGAAGGCCATTTCAGGAGAAAATGCTGTCATGCCAACCTCCCCCCATCCTCCTTTTCCTTCTACCAGTTATATCCAGAAAGCCGTTTTTAACAAAAGACTTGGCAGATGAGGGAGTTGTTGCCTGGTTGCCTTTCCGACTTTTCTGGGTAAAAGATCGGAAGGGAGCTTGGGGCCTGCCCCTCCTGGCCCAGCTGCTCATGTCAAGTATCTATTGAAACGTTTAATTTGATTTGGGATGAGGCCAGAGAACTGAGCTTAATATAATTCCCAGTGTTGTTCTTCTTTCCAGGAAGGGGAACAGTTTGTGAAGAAAATCGGCGGTATTTTTGCCTTCAAGGTGAAGGATGGCCCTGGGGGTAAAGAAGCCACCTGGGTGGTGGATGTGAAGAATGGCAGAGGATCAGTGCTTCCTAACTCAGGTCAGTGCAGGAATGGCCCCATTTATAGGGACACTGACGAGTTCACGGAGGAAAATGGGAGTCTGCTTTGGTGTTCCCCAAAAGGGCTGGCTTTAAGACCCTATTAAACTAGTGAATCCTTGGAAATAGGAGTAGATCGCAGCTGCCTCCTCCCAAAGATTGGGAGACACTATCACAGAGTTACTGGTTTGAGGCTTTGGAGTTAGACAAACTTGGCTTAGGGTCCTGGCCTTGCCACTCACAGGTTTTGACCTTGAATAAGTTCTTTAACTTCCCTGAGCCTCAAGTTTTTGTGATCGGTACATGAGAATAATAAGTGCTACCTATTTCACAAGTATAGTGGGAGGTTTAAGAGAATTGGCTCGTAATTAATCTGTAAAGTACATGGTCCAGTGTACAGTTATATGGCTTGAAAGACCTGTCTCTACTGACTATCTCTGCTTCCTCTCATCCCAGTCTTTCTTTTTTTCCCCATTTAATGTTAACCATTTATTCTATCGCTCTCCATCTCTTTCATCCCAGTCTTTCTTGAACTCACTCTCGTGAGCTTTTGTTTTCATCACTATCCCCCAGGGATTCTTGTCAAGGTCACCAGTGACCATCATGTTGCTAAATTCCCAGACCTCATGATATTTTTTCACACTTTCCACTTACCTCCTGGCTGCTTCCTTCTTGGCTTCTCTTCCTGTTTTCTCCTCATCTCCAAATTTCTAAACATTGGAGTGCTCCAAGGCTCAGTTCTGTCTACTGGGGATCTCATTTAGTCTCATGGTTATAAAACCTTATCTACACTGAGGATTCCCAGATATCATCAGTGTGGACCCAGCCACTGAACTCCAAGGTGTATATCCAGCTGCTTAATTGACAACTTTAGCTGGATATTTAATCCGCACCCCAAAACGAGCATGTATAAAAATGAACTCCTGACCTTCCTCCCACTCCCCTTTATGTACCCCTCCACTGTCTTCCCCATCTTGGTCAATTGTTGATCTAACCTACCAGTTCCTCAGTCTAAAAACTTTGACATCATCATTGGCTCCTCTTTTTCTCACACTCCACAGCCTAATCCATCAGCCAACTGTGTCTTCCCTGACTACTGCCACCTTGGTCTAAGCTTCCATCATTTTGTTGCCTACAGATTTGTCCCTACAGATTTCTTCACCACACATTAGCCAGAGTGATCGTTTTACAGCTCAAGGTCACAGTGTGACCCAGTGGCTTTCCGCTTGTTCAGAGTAAAAGCCAGAGTTGCTAGAACCACATGATCTGGCCCCAGTTTTCTCTGTCTTACCACACTCTCCCTCATTTTGCTCCAGTGACACCACCTCCTTGCATCTGCTTGAACACGGGGGGTTCCCAGATTAGGAGATCTCTACTTTGTTCCCTCTGCCTGGAATTGTCTTCTCTCAGATACCCTCATGGCTTGTTCCCTCATTTCCTTTGGATCTTTGTCCAAATGTCACCTCAGGAAGCTTTTTTCTAACCATACTTTTAAAATCACACCTCCATTATCATTCCTTATTTTTCTTTACGGTATTTATCACCATTTGATTTACTGTATAATTTTTTACTTATTTGCTTATCACTCATCCCTCCACTCACTTGAAATGTAAGCTGCATGAAGGTAGAGCTTCTTCCCTGATAGGTTCACTGCTGCAGTCGCAAGTGCCTAGAATAGTTAGATGAATCTAACTATTAGAATAATTACTGACAAATGTTAGATGTTCAGTAAAATAAGTCATTTAAAAATGGACAGCAGAATGAGTGAGTGATGCTTAATAAGCATTCAATAAGTGGTATCTCTTTTGTATGTTATGTTTCTCCTATTGGAGAGAGCCTGGTGCAACTAAGAAATATGATGGATGAGAACCAGCCTTTTGGAAGGTGTAAAATACCATGCTTTGGACTTTGAAAGTGATTTGTTGTATAATCAAGCCATTAAAGCTTTTTTAAAATAGAGAAGTAAAAGTCAGAACTGTGTTGTAGAGGATGAAGCTACTGCAATAGACTAGATGAATCGGGAAGGGAGAAATCAGAGGCAGAGAGAGCAGTTAGGAGGATGGATGTTGACACCATCAGAATGAGCAGAAATGATGGCAGTGAGAAAAAAGGATGTTGTTACAGGGTCATTGCCAAGGATATCTGGGAGAAGTTGATGCGACCTGGAAGCTGTGTTGGAGAAGGAGGTTTATTGAAGATGGTAGAGTTCATTGTTGATACATTTTGGAAGGTGCTCCTGGAGGAGAGGTTGACATCAGGAGCACAGGTAGAAGGAAGATTAGCCTTAGTTAGCAAGGAGGGATGGAGGCTTTTTTCTCTGAGAGGGTAGATAAATATTCAGGGGCATTCTGAAGTAAAGAAGAGGCTGGCAGAGCATCTGGAATAGAGGAGAGCTTGGAGATAGGAGGAAATGTTAGTAGCAGTGTTATAAGCACTGCTAAATAAGGAATCAACTGGAGATTAATGAAGAAAAAGCTGAGCAGTAGTAAGGGCCTCCATCTGGTGTAGACGGGATGGCACTGTTGTGAAAAGCTCCTGAATTATATGTAGTCTTTTTTTTCTTTCTCAAAATGAATGGACAGAAGAACTATATGTTTGACTTGTATGAGCTGCTTCATCTAGATTCTAGCTTTTAGAAATAAAAAGAACTTTTGGGATATAATGCCAATTTTTTTTAATTATTGAAGGGTTGTAGATACTTCAGGATTATATTCTGATATGCACAGGCAGATGTTAAGATGATTTAAGAATTTTTTTCTGTTTTGTTATGGGTGTTTGTTTGTCATGAAAGATAATATGCTTATGGAAAGCTTTTATTCCCTGCATATGGATCCTGGCACTGAGCTCTCCCCTCATTAGGTGCCCCGTCCCAGACCTGAACAGATTTTACCCTGGGGCAAGGTAATTTCTGCTGAAACTGACACGTGTTGGCAGCCAGGAGTGGTGCTGAAATACAGGCTTACCCAGTAAAAGCCATCACTGGAAATTGCCAGCTCCTTTTACATCAGCCAACAAATGGCCATTTGTTAGAGATCAGCTAAGTTAAAGCATCAATAACCTGTCCTAGTTTGAACTGGCATCTTAGAGAATTGCTGGTTCTTTTGGCATGTACGTAGTGTTGAGAGATTTACTTACTTTTAATGAAGTAAGATTTACTTAAATGTATTTCATTTGCTTATATTCTAAGAGTAGGGTAATGATTATACTTGAAAATTTGTGCATTTTCCATCTTTTTTTTCCTGCCTAGGTGCCTTTTAGTACCTTCTCCATGAAGTCTGCCCCTCTCCTCTCCTTTGAGACAACTCACATAGCATATCTCCAGGAAACCAACTTTAATTAATCTGACATGACACATTATTCTTTTATTCTTTTATTTTATCCTCTCACCCCACTCACTTGAGTTTTCAATCCTGCTCTTTTGTGGGGAACGTGATACAGAAAACCCCAGCGTCTCTGATCCCCAAGGTACAGTAGAAAGAGCATAGCCTTTGGAGACACCCAAACCTGGGTTTGGGTCTTGGCTCTATCATTTACTAGGTGTGTATCTTCCCTGAGTCCAGTTGTCTTGTCCAGAAAATGGTAAAAACAATTTCTATTCATGGAGCTGTTGTGGGGATTAAATGAGATAAAGTACATAAAGCACCTTAGCATAGTAAGTGCTTCATAAGTCATTGTTTTCTTCCCAACCCATATATTAAACATTTATTTTGCTTGAACACGTTAGACTTGTCTAAGACTCCTCAAGCGGATGGGGGGATCTGAGAATGCATCTGGGATTCATCAGATGCTGATGAATTGTGAAGGCCCAATTAAAACTGAGCTGAGCTGTTGAATGGGTCTGTATCCTTCTTATTCAGGGAAGCCATAAAGCCTAAGAGTTGGGAGTGTGGCCTTTAGCTGTAGGAATTCTCTGACCCTCACAGAGTTATAACAAACAAGTTATTTACGTGAAGTGGTTGGCATAGCGAGTGCTCAATAAATGCTGATATTACATCAGCAACAATAGCAGCACACACAGCAGACTTCACTTCCTAAAGCCACCTTTCAATGACTGAGTCCTTTCTTGTAATGTTAGGGTCACGTCCAACTATAAACTAAGTCCGACTGTCTCAATTTGCTAGCTTGCTTTTCCTCCCTGTTCTTTGATGTTATATGTATCTACAAGAGAACTGGATTTTCTAGATTTGTAAATTTTTATTTTTAAGGCTTCATACATTTTTTCCTGTAATAAGAGAAAATTTTGTTAGGGACAAAGATTGAGTGGCCATTGAATCCCATTCTCTTTAGGGGCTATCTCTGAGTTGTAAGATGTATAATAAATTTTTTTTAAATTTTCAGTCTTGTAGTTATTTAATAATATGGGCATACTATAACATTTTACTCCTGTCTTCATCCATTTGGGCTACTATAACAAAGGTACTGCAGACTGGGTGGCTTAGAAACAAGAGAAATTTATTTCTTACAGTTTTGAAGGCCGGAAGTACAAGATCAAGATCAAAGTCACGTCTTGGTGAGGGCCCTCTGCCTGATTTCTAGCTAGTGCCCTCTTGCTGCGGGCTCACAGGGGCCCGCAAAGGGGCCAGTGGTGTCTTTGGAGTCTTTCATAAGGCACTAATCTCTTCCGTAGGGCTCCACCCTCATGACCCCCTGAAGGCCTTACCTACTAATAGCATCAGACATTAGGGTTCGGAAATACGAGTTTTGGAGGGGGAGACAAACGTTGAGAATGTAGCAGCCCCTTTCTCTTTTATTAAGACATAGATTAGCTGGTTACTTATTGGGCCATAATTTGATAATCTTTTGAATTATAAATAATTTTATCAATAAGAATTTATCGATTGCCTTTCGTATCAAGCTTTCTTCAAGGGCCTGGGGATATAGCAATGAACAAACTGACAAGAGCTCTGTTTTTACAAAGTTTTCATTCTAGTGGACAAATGCAGACAGAAAACACATATACAGGAACTTAAGGTAGTTTGAGATAAGTGCAATGAAGAAAATAAAGCAATAGTGAGATATAAAGTGACTTGGTGTCTGGAAGAGGCCAACTTTAATTTGAGGAGGAGCCAGCCAGCTGCTAGAGTACTATTGTTATATTGATCGCCTAAAACACTGCTGATGAGTTTGGTTTCTTGGAGAATTTTTCCTTTTGCACTTGAAACCTCTCATTTGTCCAAGGTAGACATGACTGATTTAGCAATGAGATAGTAGAGTCTTTGTAGTACAGCCTTTTTTTAAAGTTATACCTTGATGGTATTAAAATTAACATTTTAAAAACTTTGTATTATATAAGTAATATATACTCAGTGTAAAAAAAAAATAAGAAAAAAGAAAATGAAAAATTACTCTCCTGTAATCCGACCATTTTACTTCAGGGGTTGTAAAACTATGTCCTGTGGGCCAAATCCAACCCAATACCTGTTTTTTTGTTTTGTGTAAAATTTTGTATATGAAGTCGAGCCCATAACAAAGGGCATAGATCTCAGTATACAACTTGATAAATGTTAACAAATGAACGTATCTCCCAGATCAAGATGCAGAATGTTGCCAGCACTCCAGAAACCTCCCTCACACCTCATACCTCTGTCTTTCACTGCCCACTCCAAAAGGAGCCACTATTCCAAATTATACCACCACAGATTGACTTTATTTATTTTGGAAATTCATATAAAGGAACCATGCAATATTTACTCTTTTAGGTCTGCCTTCTTTTTGCTCAGCATTGTAAGATTTGTTAATATTGTTGCATGTAGTGGTAGTTCATTTTTACTATGTGAATGCACCAGAATTTGATTCATTCCATAGTTGATGTATCTCTGTATTTTGGGGCCTTATGAATAAAGCTGTTATGAGCATTCTCATATGTGTCTTTTAGTGGACATATATACTCATTCCATTTGACATATAACCAGGAGTGGAAATACTAAATCATAAGGTATAATATAGCGAAATAGTGTTTTTTTTAATGTGAATATACTGTTTTACATTCACTTCCACATTATATGAGGGTTTCATTTGCTCTACATTTTTGACAGTACATGGTACTGTCAGTTTTCTTTTTAGTGAGGTTTATTGAGGTATAATATACACATAATAAAATTTACCCTTTTAGATATAGTAAAATTCTTTGAATTTAGACAAATGCATAGTTTTGTAACTACCACCAACAAACAAGATATAAAATATTTCCATCACCCCAGAAGGTGTCTTCATGTCTCTTCGTAGTCAACCCTTTCCTCCCGCACGCAGGCCCTGGCTACCGCCAGTCTAACTCCTGTCCCTGTAGTTTTACTTTTCCCAGAACGTCTTACAAATGGAATCAGATGGTATGCAGCTTTTTGAGCCTGCTTTTTTTTCACTGAGATTTATTCATGTATCATCAGTAGTTTGTTCCTTTTTGTGGCCAAGTAGTTTATCCATTTACCAGTTAGTGCACATTTGGGTTTTCTTCCAGCTTTTGGCAATTTGAATAAAGCCACTAACAGCAGTCATATACAGATTTTTGTGTGGACATGTTTTCATTTCTTTTGAGTAAATAATCTAAAAGTGGGACTGCTAGGTCATTTGGCGTGTGTATGGTTAGCTTTATAAGAAATTTCCAGCTTGTTTTCTAAAGTGGCTGTACCATTTTACAGGCCCTCCAGCACTGATTTGTCAGTTGTTCCTCATCCCCTCCAGCACTGGATACTGTCTTTTTTTTAAGCCCTTCATTCTAGCTGTTATGTAGTAGTATCTCATCCATGCTTTTAACTTGCATTTTCCTGATAACTAATAAAGTTGAACACTTTCATGTGCTTTTTTTTGCCATTTGGAGATCCTCTTTTGTACAGTGCCTGTTTATGTTTATTTGCGCATTTTTTTATTGGATTATCTAACCTTTTCTAGTTGAGTAGTAGGGGTTTTTAAAATATATCTGGATACAAGTTCTTTGTTAGATATATGAATTTTAAATATCCCTTTGGGTATGCTACCTATTTTGAAAATACGTGGGGCAAAAGTAGGTTTACAATTGTAAGTAGGCGAAACAGAGAGTCTATTCTTCTTCTTATTCATTTCCCATATGTACTTTTGCCCCACACTATAGTATCTTTTTAAAGATTTATTTTATTTATTTTTAAAGAGGGGAAGGGAGGGAGAAAGAGAGGGAGAGAAACATCAATGTGTGGTTGCATCTCGGGCGCCCCCTACCAGGGACCTGGCCTATAACTCTGGCATGTGCCCTGACTGGGAATCGAACTGGAGACCCTTTGATTCACAGGCCAGCACTCTATCCACTGAGCCACACCAGCCAGGGCTTACCCTGTAGTTTTATTGCAGCACAGACATGTTCATTTGTTTTATCTGTGGCTGCTTTTGAGATACGGGCACAGAGTTGAGCAGTTACAACAGAGATCTAAGCCTATAAGCTATTTAGTGTCTGATTCTTTACTGAAGTTTGTTAAATCTGATGTAGATGACTGTGTTCATTTTCTATTACTGCATATCAAATTACCACAAACTTAGTGGCTTGAAACAACACACATATTTACCACCTGACAGTTTCCATGGTTAAGTTTGCTGAGGACAGCTTAGCTGGGTCCTCTGCATAAGGTCTCACAGGCTGCAGTGAAGGTGCTGGCCAGGGCTGTGTTGTCATCTGAAGACTTGACTGGGGAAGGGCCCATGTCTAAGCTTATGCATGTTGCTGGTAGAAATCATTTTCTTGCAGCTGTGTGAATGACAGCTATAGTTTTTTACTAGCTGCAGGCCAGAGTCTGCCCTCAGCTCCTAAAGGTAGGTAACCTGCTGTGTGGCTCTCTCCATACGCAGTTCACAGCACAACTAGCTTCTCCAAGGCCAGAAGGAGAGTAAGAGTGAGTCTGCTAGCAAGACAGTCTTATATAACATTACAGAACCGCAGGGAAGATAGCCCATTGCTTTTGCTACATTTGTTGTCTAGAAGCAAGTCACAGCTCATGCCCACACTCAAGGGTAAAGGGTTATTTATGCAAAGGCATGAACACCAGGAGGCGGGGATCATGGGGGTCACCTTAGAGTCAGTACCCACAATAACTGTTACTAACATATTGATGTCTAAGTTTACAGATGTTTTTCATATAAGCATATGTAATTGAATATCTGTTTTTATGCAAAAATGGGATCATGCTTACAATTTGTTTTGTAACTGGGTTATATAACAGTATCATGAACAGTATACCATTAACATTTTTTCAGGCCAATAAATGTATATACATATCATATAATGGCTGTATTGTATCCCATTAAACGAATATAGCATTTATATACTAATGTGCGTGTGTATACACACATTATATAGCACTTATATAATGTGTGTATATAATACACACACACACATATCCATCAGCCATATAATACACACACACACACACACACACACATATAAACACACTTTTTTATTTAAACAATTAAAAGTAGAACAGAGAAAGGGATATCAAGAGTATAGGGCAGAGTATAATATGAAATACTGAATTTAACTTGAGATGTTTAAAATATTTATTACAAATAAAGACTCTTAGATGTTTACCAGTTCATAGGAAACTAGGAAAAACCTAAGAGATGAAACTTTCAATGATATTAGCAGAAAACCACTTTCTGCTTTTAGTATTCTTGAGAATGTCAGTAGACTATCCATTAAAAGTCCTCAGAATAAAAACAACAACAAAAAAACACCTTATCCCTGCCCTGGCCAGTGTGGCTCAGTTGGTTGGAGTGTTGTCCAGTGACCGAAAGGTGGCGGGTTCATTGCCGGTCTGGGTGCTGGCGCGTGTGACCCATGGTTGGGATGTGTAGGATTCCTGGTCCCAGTGTGGATCCAGGGTCTGGGTGTATATGGAGATAACTGACTGATGTTTTTCTCTCCCCCTTCTTCTCTCCCTGCTTCTCTGTCTCGGGGCAGTGGGGGCGGGGGGAAGCAAATGAAAATGTCCTTGGGTGAGGATAAAAAACCCCAAAACTTAGCCCTGACTGGTGTGGCTAAGTGGGTTGGGCGCTGTTCCGCAAACTGAAAGGTCACTGGTTCAGTTCCTGATCAGGGTCAGGGAACATGCCTGGGTCATGGGCTAGGTCCCCAGATGGGGCTGTGCTGAGAAGCAGCTGATAGATGTTTCTCTCTTATATCAATGTTTCTCGCCTTCTCTCCCTCCCTTCCCCTCTCTATAAACAAACAAACAAAATTTTTAGAAAAAGAATAAAAGACTACAAAGCTTTAAAGTTAGGAATATTGATAAAGTCATTCTTTCTTGTAAAACATGGTTTTACTTGTAAAATAAATAAGTGGCTTTAAATGATTATTTTTTAAATTTCTATTTGTTTTTAGAATAGGTAATACATTTTCGTGATTAAAAAATTAAAAGATACAAAAGGTTACACTATGAAAAGTCTCCCTCCCTTCCCCTCTCTCTAAAAATAAATAAAATCTTTAAAAAATACTTAGCAGGTGTAGATGCTTTTAAAATTTCTGTTGAATAAATGATTGTTTACACTACCATCATTTAATTTCTCTCTTGTTAAATGCTGAGGTTGCTTGTAATTTATGCCACACTTTCCTGGCTGCCATTGAGTGCCCACCTCCCCACACAGCTTGGGTACTGGATATGATTCTGTTGCAGTCAGTGGCTATTGACTAAAATGTATACAGAAAACTGAATACTCCCCTTTTCTCTTTCCTTCTCCTGTACATCTCATTTTAGATAAGAAAGCTGACTGTACAATCACGATGGCTGACTCAGACTTAATGGCTTTAATGACTGGTAAAATGAATCCTCAGACGGTAAGTATAATGGCCTTTACATCCTTCCAGTAGGTGGGATCTTCTGGCCCATTCCACTTTATCTCCTGCCTCAGCCTCACAAGGTGCAAAGTGGTCAAACATACAAAAGTCAGTGTTCGTCTGTCAAATGACAAACATTTGTGGAGCAAGCTATGTGCCAGACACTGTCCCGTGTGCTGGAAATGCCCAGATGAATAAGACATAGTACCCATGCTCAGGGCACCCCCGATTTGGTACAAGACAGATCTGCAAGAGTAAGTGCAGCCAATATCTGTCAGTGCAGACCACACCTTGTGTGTGGTCTGGGAGGGTGGGGGAAGGCACAGCCATGACTTTCTGGGCCTTGAGAGAAAGGCTCATAGAGGAGGGGACACTGAAGCTGAGTTCTAGGGGCTCAGAAGTGAGCGGTGCACAGAGGGGGAGTAGGAACAATCCAGGTGGAAGAAGGGAGAGGTGTGAACGAAGATGCGACCTTTTACATTTTGTGTCTTTGCCCATGCTGTTGCCTGAGCTGTCTTGCCCTGTAAACTCCTTGTCTCTCAAATTAAGCTCGGATGGCGTCTTCAAAGGCCTTCTTCCAAGCTGTTGGGGAGCTATAGCCCGTCTGTGTCCTGTTCCACCTCCTGGGCTGCTAGGTCAGCACTTGTCACATGATTGATATGTGTCCTAATGTGCTTATCTTCCAAATTAGATTGTGGTTATCTTAAAGGAACAAACCACGTCATTCTTGTCTTCTTGTCTCCAGAGCATAGCATGATGCCTGACCTTTTTTAAATTTTTATAGTTGCAGGATTATATTTGTCTGAATTGCCCAGATTGTCAAGGGTCTTCTTGTACTCTCTAGTTGCATAGTGGCGAACAGACGACAGTATACTGAGCTTTCCATCAGCCATAGATAATAACAAGGAAACTAAGGTGCTTCCTTCCATTGTAACCTTATTTTTTTATTTTTACTTTTACTTTTTGCCTCAGCCTGATTTGTTTTAGGTCTTATTCTTGCTGTCCCCTGGTAAGGCTAGAGATTGGATATAACAACTAAATCTGACTCCCACTTGTATTCCTTTTAAAAATGATTTTTTTAAGCAACTGAGAATATTTCAGTTAATAAGCTGACAGGCAAGAGCCATGCATCTCTGACGTTTCAGCTGAATACACACCATTGGCACTGATATTTCCACCCACTGAGCTCATTCCAAAAATCTGGACAGAACAGAGGCCACCACTATAGGAGCTGGCTGTCATCCTTCTTCCCACCCACTGTTCCTCATTCCGCTGTGCACTCACTCCATGCACTTCCTTGGCAACGTGATCAGACTTCACACATCAGCCACCCTCAGTTCTCTCCATTTATCTGTTTACCACCCATTTTGGGGAGTGAAGTATCAGCTTGTTTTTCTTGGGCACCTGTTAGCACACAAAGAAATTAAAGATAAAAGTGACAGACCTTTCTATTAATGTGCCAATGGCCTTCCTTTCTGTGCCTTCCCTTATGCTCAGTAGAGGATTTGACTGGAAACCATTAAATGCAGTGGAAATTATAATTTCAGTGTTTGGCTACAGTTGAAACAAAGCAATGTGCTCTCCATCACCAAGCACATATGAAGAACACCTAGGGGCCAGATTAAAATGGCTCTTCCCTAAAGAGTGAAGATTTGTGTGTTCTCTATAATAATTAGTAAATAAAAAGTCATTTTTCTCTTTTAATTTAAAAAAGGGAAGATGGTGAATTTCTCTTCTAAGTACCACTGGTCCATATTTTAAAGGGACATATGTTAAATATATTGTATTCTGAGACACCTGACCTTTAAGTCATCAGACAGAAGGCACTGTGCCATATAGGAAGGAAATATTTAGTTTGTCCAGACAGAGGAGGGGAAAAAAAAAATTAGTCACCCTTACTAGAAGGTGTAGAAAAAGCAGGGCTCTGTGCATTCCCATCAATGAAGCAAAGAGGTCCTAACTTCTTTTATTTTTTAAAAATTGATTGAAAGAGACAGAGACAGACATCGATTTGTTCCATTTATTTTATGCATTCATTGGTTGATTATTGTATGTGCCTTAACTGGGGTTTGAATCCGCAACCATGGCATATCAGGGACAATTAACTAACTGAGCTTACCTGTTGACTTCTTAATGTACTTGTTAAAAAGCTAAGACTACCAGAAACTTTTTCACCTAGCCCTTATTTTAGAATTCAGTTAAAAGACAGATCATAGCAGAGAAATCTGGCCATGTTCCCAATTTTGCTATTTCTCCAGTTTTCCTGGGATTTTGTTACATGATAAATTTAGCAAGCATCATGTGATCTAATCCCAGGCAGTTGTTAAATGGAACAAATTGTGGTTCTGCATTTCGGATTGGTTTGATTCTTCTTACTGAGCCAAAGATTAACACGAGCACCTCAGTTTCAGCAGACCGCCTGGCCTCCCTCTGTGGGGAGAAGCCCTTTATTGTGAAGACCAAAGAGAAAAAAAATTGGTGATATTTCATCCATATTGTATTCCAAGAGTTTCTAAGTGTGTTATGCATGTGCTGTTTTTCTCGACAGACTTCTGAAAATTTTAGTTCATATTCCTGGTCCACATGTAATTCTTTTAAACAAAAGCATTCTAGCGTGAACCCTCTTGGCCTAATATTTAATGTACCACCATTGGGGAAGGCAGGTAGAGGCAGATTCAATTTCTAAGAGAAGACGCTTGGGAAAGATGTGCCTTTTGATTGCTCTGTGTAAAGCATAGCTTTTACAGTTCCTTCCTTTTGAAGAATCTGGTTCTAAATCTGTTCCAGAAAGCTGAATTTTATATTTTGACAGAGGTATAAGAGGCTTGATGAATAAGTGATCTCAGGGCTGGACAGTCTAGAAATATCAGCAGTCTCAAAATGGAAAACACCAAGTAATAAATTTTCTTTCTTCTTACAGGCCTTCTTTCAAGGCAAATTGAAAGTCACTGGCAACATGGGTCTGGCTATGAAGCTACAAAATCTTCAGCTCCAGCCTGGCAAAGCTAAGCTGTGAAGATCTTTCTGTGCCTACCTTTGAAAATCAAGATGAGACTTACAGATATATATCCATATATTTCATTGTCAGAACGTAGACTGAAACCATGTGTTGGCCAATAGCACGGGATTTGTTTTTAAATGAGTGTGACCAATTCTGTTTTTCCTAAGCTTTGGGTGAATAGAGCCTGGTGGTATACTACTGCTTTGCTGAATTGCATACAACTGTGCATTACAAAGTTAATATGGTAATTATGGTCTGGAGTAAAATTGAGTTTCAGAATAAAATTAGGAACAGCAAAATCCAAAAACTATGTAAACAAAAGCTCTCATTTTGCTTATGAAGTATATTTAAGGATTGTTCTGCTGAAGATTCATTATAAGTTTTTCTTGAGAGAATTAGGGGAGAAACAAAATACCAGAAGCTGGCCAGTAATTAGTTTGTGCACTTAATGACCTTAATCTATTTTCCATTAATAGTTTTCAAAAATCTGTACTGGGATTTAAAAAATTTTTTAAATTTTGCATTTTGCACCATCAGAATGGTATTTTCTTCCCAAATCTAAATAAAAGAAATATGATCAGAGCTTGGAGGGGTGGGGAATTTATAGCTGAACACAGGCCTATTTTTAAAATAAAAAATATTTTTAAATGGGTTTTGTTCTTGAAAAATCAGTGTTAAATAGTTTTAACAATAAAATTTGCTTCGAGATGCACAGTTTTAAAATTATAATTTCATATTAATTTAAGTTTATAAAGCTTTCAGTCCTTAGTTATAATTTTCCTTCTCATATACTTAGTTTAATTATCCACGTTTATCTTTCTTCCTAATTTTTCTAAAACTAATGTTATATCTTACCACTTAGTAAAATATATGGTAAAATAATGCTTTTGGAAGAATGTTTAATAGAAAATTAAAATAGCTCTTCCAGATCACCTTTGTTTTTATTGTGTTTGTTCTGTTTATTTAGAGTTGTCTAAATGAAGGAGATTAAGAGAAAGAGAAACATTGAGGGATTTACAACCTGTGTCATCCAGATGTCACCCATTGGATTCTCTACCGGTTACTTTGACATAATCACCAGTTCTTGGTTGTGGGAGGGGGCTATGTGTTGTGGAAGGAGCACTTGATTAGGAGCTGGGAGTCTTTCTTATAGGCAAATGAGTACTGTATTTTGCTGTGTATAATGCACACTTTTTTGCCCAAATATTTGAGGAAAAAATAAGTATGCACTTTATACATGGGTAGTACTAATTCTATATCTATCTGTATAAATGTTTTTTATTTTTTTAAAAAGATTTTTATTTAGTTTTAGGGAGAGAGAAAGAGAGGGAGAGAAACATTGATCAGTTGGCTCTCACACATTACCAACCGGGGACCTGGCCCGCAACCCAGGCATGTTTTTCCTGAAAGTTTGGGCCAAAAAACATGCATGCACATTAGATGCACATTACATAGAGCAAAATACGAGTAACTGCCTGCTTGGCCCATTTGCTCAACTGTTAAAAGAGGGGAGTTAAGTATACGGTCTCTAAGGTTTCTAATGTTCTGCTCATTCTGTGAGACTCTTCAGAGCCCAGAACTGTTCGGGAGTTATCCAGGCCCTGCCTTCCTATTGTAAACACGTTACTCTACCTGAAAATCGTCAGAAGCAAAAAGCCAGGTGGTTTTGTTTGGTTAGATGCTTTGGAGACTGTGCTAATCAAATCAGGACTGTGGCTCAGATCCCCCTGAGACCATTTAGCTTTTCATGTTCTGTGACCAACAGAATAGCATTTGGTGGTGGGGCAAGATGGTGAATTAAGCCAATATAAGGTGATCTCAAGTCCCATAAAATAATTCACAACACAGACCTATTTTCTAATCATAGTAGCTTCTTACTCTGAGATGAAAGACTTCAAGAAAAAAGTTCCCACAAAATGTCTCATTTATCTGTAGTTTGGATTTGATGCATTGTTCTGCCTTCACTGGTCCCGGATAAAAAAAGATACCTGAAACAGGCTTCTGTGATACATGATATGATATCTGTAGTGTTTTCTTATGTTCCGCTTTTTGAGTCTTTTTTTTATTTGCTCATTCATTGTATTTATCAGGTGGTTACCTTATAATAGGTGCTATCCTGAGAGTACAGTGCTAGGCCCTGGAGATATGGTAAGCTCCTCCCCTCACGGTACTTACAGTCCAGTGGAAGAGACAGAAAATCAAAGAGATGAATAATTATTACAGACTGTCGTATGCCATGCAAGAAATGGTCAGGGTGCTTGAATGGAGAATCACAGTGAGGGGTCTCCTTTGATAAAGTGGTTAGGGAGACACCTCCGAGGAGGTAATTTTTAAGCTGGGAACTAAAGGTTGGGCCCTGGCCGGTGTGGCTCAGTTGGAGCATTGTCCCATAAACCTGAAGGTCACGGGTTTGATCCCTGGTTGGGGTACATGCCTAGGTTGCAGGTTCGGACCCTGGTTGGGGAGTGTGTGAGGGGCCACTGATTGATACTTCTTTCTCACATCCATATTTCTCTCCCACTCTCTCCTTCCCTACCCCTCTCTAAAATCAATAAGCATATCCTCAGGTAAGGATAAAAAAATAAAACATGAAGGTTGAGGAGTGAACCATACAAAGAACATTGCATGCAAGGGTAGAAAGGGGTTTGGCATGTTCCAAACATTGCAAGGCCAGTGTGAGTGGAGCATAGTGGACGGGAAGGACAGGCCTGAGATGAGGCTGGATAGGTCCAGAGAAGCTAATTACATTGGAAGCTGGTAAGGCATTCGTATGCCATTGTTAGTGCAGTTGGGAGCTCTTGAAGGTGTAGCTTTACACATGTTATTTCTCGCTCATGTTGCATGTCCACTTTGCCGTCATATCCTAAGTCCAGAATCCAGGCTAATGGAGGAGCTACTCTCTAGAACATTGTGATCATCGTGGCATAGGAAGAAAAAAACATACACATTGGCTATATATATATTTTATTGTTGACACTGTTCCAGATGTCCCCCATTTCCTCCCTACACTGGCTCTTAAAGTTTCTACTCAGAAGTGATCCATATCACTTTTGCTCCCCTTTCATTATCCAGAGAAAATCACATGCCCCCCGCCCGTAACTTCACAGTCGTACCATGTACCGGAAGGAGAGAATGGAGTTGGAAAATCCGAGAAAGAACTGGTGAACATCCCAGAAGGGCTGTCAGCAGAGGAATGGCATGATTTAAACCGCCATTGTCATTGCTCTGTGGAGAATGTACTGAGAGTAGCGGCTGGAGAGTGGGTGACCAAGTACAAGAAGGCAGAGCCCTGGCCTAGGGGGTCAGTGGTGAAGATGGAAAGTAAGCAGAGGTAGAGCTGACAGACGTGAGGACTGGACGTAGGGGCAAGAATGACTTCCGGTGACTGGCTTGGTGAAGAGTGTGTCGTAACTGGAATGGTGAGGAGACAAGCAGGTTTTAGGGAGAGTGGTTGAAATAATAAGCTCCACTTTTGAACTTGGAGATGTCTAAGAGATTTCCCGGTGGAGATATCAGGGAGGTAGTTGGATTTACAAAATGAGCTCCGAGGTAAGGCCAGCCTGGAGTGTCGAGGTGGTCTTTACAGCTACAGGGATGGCTGATACCGCCTGGGGAGGGAAGAAAGGGGGTTGGAGTAAGGTTGAGGAACTTCAGCCTTTAGAGACCAGGTAAAGGAGGAGGAATCAGGCAGCGGGGATGAGGAAGAGGGACTAGAGAGGTGGAGGGAAATTTCCCAAGAAGAGAGTACAGCATGGCCAAAAAGTGGGAATGATCAACTGTGTCCTGTGCTACTGTGAGGTCAAGTGGGATGATGTCTGAAAAGCATCTACTGAATTGGGCAACATAGAAATCACTAGTGATGACTACAAAATCAGTATCAGTAGAGTAGTAGGGGTAAAAGCTAGATTGGAATTGGTTTCGCAAAGAGCTTGAATAATGACAGAAAAGTCCTCTCTGGTAGTTTTGGTTTCCAAATGATTAATGCAGAGCATGCATTTTAGCTAATACTTCGAGTTCTAGAGTAGGCCACCTTGTGCATGCCATTCTCTGTGCCCGCTCTCACTGGCCTCCCCCTGCCCCGGCCCCCCACTCTATCCATTTGGCTAATCCCTTTCTATGCCTGAGCTTTCAGGAAGCTGTCCTTTGTCACAAGGAGAGCTAACCATTCCTTTGTAGTAATTTCTGTCTCCCACCGAACAGAGAGCTCCATAAGGGAAGGGAGAACAGCATCTCATGCATCCATTTTTATACCCCCCACACAAAGTCTTGGCTCACTGTCATTAAGTGAATACATAAGAAGATGAAAAACAATTTTATACCCACAGGGGTCATTTATGAGGATAGGAACCTTTTCACAGAAATGCATTCTCTATTACATGACCTTCTGTGGCCCTGATGATGAAACAGAACATTAAAAATTCTCTGTTAGCCTGAACTATCCCGCTCTTTCTTTGAAAATATTTGCAGCTTCTCAGAACAGAGTTCAACTTAAGACTGAAGCAACCCAAAGTAATAAATACAAGACGTTACTTTTTTGTGGTTTTATTATCTGTTTTTTAAAAAGTGGCCTCATGCGTTCTGTGTGCATTAAAATCAATCGTCTTATTGCTGTACATGCCTAGATGAATTCCAACTCCCAGGCTTCTACAGTCTTTGTTGCATCCGTTACAAAAGCAATACTGCAGAGCATGGTTAGGAGGCTGCGGGCGGTGGAGCTGGGGGTGCAGAGGCGGGCACTGAGGTGTGATCAGAAGAATCTGGAATCAGGTCCTGTTCGCCTCCTGGAAGCTAAGTTAGGACAAGGCATTTAAGCCTCACCAGCCTTTGGTTTCTTCCTCTACACAAGAGGGATGCTGTTAACTTTTTTTTTTAATGGTCTCAGACTGAACACCTTCAGGATAGAAACTCTATGTTATTTATTGTAATGTCTCTAGTATTAATACAATGTCTGCCAGAATATGCATGGATGAAAGTTTCTTGAAGAAATGAGGATTAGACAGTGATTACTAAAGTTCTTTTTAAATTGTAGAATACCTCGTCAAATGTTCAATCACATATAAATATAAACTCAATTTGCCTCATATACATTACCTTAAGAAAAATAAATATGAAGTTAAATCCTATAATTAACAGTTTTATCTCCTGAAACTTAAGCAGTTTCAGAAAATAGCACATTGAGAGCAGCCTGATGGTAGGTGGGAAAACTTGGGGCCCATCAGATGAAGTTTGGAGCCAGCTCTGGCACTCAAAAGCTTTGGGACTTGGAGATAATGGCTCTGAGTCGATCTCTCTATAAAAAAGGAATAATGCCCACCATGATGGTAGTGAGAATTAGGAATTTTACCTGTCAAATGTCAAACACATAGTAGATACTCAATAGATAGGTGGTGTCTAATGTTATGTGAGAAATTTTTTTTAACTTGAAGGAATTTATTCATTGGAACATTTTGTGGAAATCCTTTGAGTTCAGATAATCAGCTGGCATCAGGATTGGGGGCAAGTTGCTTTTTAAATTAACTGTCTACATTCTTACATTTTCCTCAAGAATCATTAAATTTAATAGTATCTGTAACTAAGTGAACTAATATAGAATTATTTAGTTTGATGTCCAGAAGTTCTGCATTTCAACCAAAGATTACAGTTCTAGCTGCCCATGGCCTGGTTTCTTTTTGAACACAAAGAAGTTGCTTGATGTTTATTGACTAGGGGGGAAAAAAAGGTAA